TCACGTGCACCTTATTTCACGGGAATTTGAGCAATCTGACATCCTCTGTAGATACACTGGCTGATCCACACGAAACTATCTCATCACCGGTCATTTGTAATAAACGTGTACGTTATCACGATGGCGTGACGCTGTATTTCTCCATGAAGTTTCCCTCGGTCGCTCCAAAGAAGACGAGAAATGGACATTTTTCGATATTTCAGCAGGTCTCCGCGCATTCTGAAATTAAATAAAACCAAAAAACCAAGAAGAGGAAGACTTTGGTTGAACGCTACAGAGCTGAACAATAAAAATTTTAATGCCCACGTCACAGGGTATGCGTTCAACAACGCGGGCTCAAGTGTCCTAGGTCTAAAACTTAGCCAACCGGAAAATAACAAGGGCTGCCTTTTAAAACCGAGGAACTCTGTTTTCGAAAGCATTTTCCTATTTCCAGAGGTTGTAAGGGGAAAATTAATTTTTGAAACTTTGTAGGGTGTACCAAGTTTTTGGAGGTTGTTCTGTAAAAGAGAAGCGGCAAGGAAAATGACGCCTCAAAGCGGAGGATTCTCTTGTCTTATAGTAGCTGTAGTAAATCATCCCCCTGGAGCAGATATCAACATCCGTGAGCATTTGTTTAACTCTCAGGCCCGAGCTGAATCTATTTACCCCAACTGTGCGCTTATTTTAGCCGGCGATTTTAACCGCCTCGATGTCACGCGGCTTATAAGGCATTTTCATCTTGGGAACGTGTCTACGTGAGATCCAAGCAGTATCAAAATTTGAGTCTACATGGTACCCCCCAGAATTTGATACTGTTTTTTGTACATACTGGTAATAGTCCAAGTTAAAAACCTGCCAAATATTTTTCCCAAAGTACGAACAGTTCACGAGATACAGTGGTTCGAGTGGGATGACACAATTTTAAGTAAAATCATGGTAAATTCGTCAATGAAGTTTAAAACTTGCTCAGAGACTAGTGGGTCCTGATATAATTAAGAATCTTTGCCAATTTCAAATGAATAGTATACTCATTGGAGTCAACTAAATTTGAAAAGGATGCGATGACTATGTTTGAAAATAATAATGTTTCAGGAAACCTTAAAAAATCGAGAATTTTCATGATTCGAATTTCTAGCGAAAATCTCTTAAAATATCTCGCAGGCGGCCATGTCTCTGCTTAAAATTACTCCATTTCCATAAAGTTTATTTGTGTAGAAGTATATAGAGGTGATAAAATCTGTGTGAAGTTGCGTACGTCTAGCTCAGTATGCGAAACAGAAATTTTGTATCGGCATTTCGCTCGCGACAACGGGCGAATGACAAATGGGGACAATGATCGTGATCTGTTGATGTTGCACACCACTTTAATCACGCGAAATAACTAACACAACAAACAGGAACGTTCTCCTCGACTGTCGTTTTTCACCGCCATGTTTTTCTCGTACGATCCTTTTCTTTTTTTTTACTCTCCTAACAATCATCTGGGCTAGTCCCAGTTACTCTCGTCCTGCTTGCTACATTGACATCTGGTTAAACATGCCACTGATTCTGGTGGAGACATTGTGGGCTCATATTATATTTGAATACACAATAATAGGTTTATAAAATGTACCTGATGAAAAAAATCAGCTTTAGAGTGCTAGTAAAAGCACACTTGCCAAGGCTGGTGTACGCGGGAAACTACCGGCCGGTCGCTGACTTTATACACTCAACCGTATGCAGCATTTTAGAATGATGGCCGCGGCTGCAAACCGCTCAGAGATTTTTCAAGACTCACACGGGCCACTTCTTTGGATGATCAGTCGTTTGAATAGATAAGATAAAATGCTTTACATGGGGTCTTTACACATCGAAATCGAAGTATTAATAGTGTCACAGAGCACCCAGGGTATCAGGGTATTATTATCAGAGGATTACCTTCCCCCCCTCGGTGTTTCTGAACCAGAAATGCTAATTTGATTGGATTTTTTTTGTTTGGGTTGGGGAATATTATATCTATTTCTTTACATCTGGTTAATCCCAAACCCTTTCCAAAATTCTAGAACAAAAACGCTATTTACTGGTCCGCTACCCATACGCCTCTCCCTGATGTCACCTCCAATCCAGCCTTACCACACCGCAGGCTTTTTAATGAAAAGGGGGGACCTCTACACAAAAAGGTAAATGAGTTAAAGACAAGACACCCCTTCTAGAAAACCCCCGCATACGAGAGTTCGCGATTCTGTAGCTTAAAGCGGGTTCACAGAGTTAGCTGATGTTTCACCCTCTCGAGGAGATTATACCGTGAAATTTCCCTTTCCAGTGGCTCTACATGTTGGTCACCAACGTTGATGTCGTTAGCCTACGGCAATTTTCCGGTTTTCTTTAAGGTCGCCAGTCAAGAAAAATAGCTTGTAATCTGCTGAGCTGTGAGCCACTCCTCTTTGTTGAACAAGCGTTGGTTAGTACCCTCCCGACATGGTGTGTGTATTCGTCTTGAAGCATCAAGCGGGCTCACCTTGCGCCCAGTCTCTTCACCAACAAAAAATAGCTCGAGAAGGAAGTTATTCAGCTGTTACGTAAACCTGCTGTTCTTCCTTGCCTCGCGAGCCCCGCCACCAGGCACACTATTGGAACTGTTGGCGGTAGAAGTACTGGAGGTCTTACGGGTCTCTGGCATTTTTGCTTTCACAGAGGTGTATTTCGCCGCACATTGCCATTTAATATGATCATACTCTGTTTCCCGGTGAAGTTTGTACTGGCGCTTGCCGAAGTCGAGATGGCTGACAAGGTAGTGGTTAGAGCGGTAGACTTTAGTACACCCATCCTGAGGAAATGAAAACGAGGCGCTTGCATTTACGTTCCCCCACAGTTTCGCTGATGATGGATTTCTCGAACGAGAGGTTGCCTTTTTCAACCCGCCTTTTGCGGTGTCTGGTGCGTGAAAAGGCTTCAAAACCTTTATACCTGTCACCTGCTGCGTTGACTTCATGGTAAAGGCCTTTTTTCGAGATTCTACTCCCGCAAAAAATGCGCAAACTACTCATTTTGGTTTATCGCTAGTGCGAATAATTTATTTCAAAAGTTTTCAGCTCCCCCTCCAACATCCCCAAACATTTGGGGTGAACAATGGACCGTCCCTTATAATGGTAAGGAAGAATTTCTGGTGCTCT